TTTTTTTTTTTTTTTTTTTTTTTGTCCTTTTAGAGACTGGCTGCACTGCTCTCAGCCAGTGAGCACACTGGTCCTCCCTACATAGGATCCGAACCCGCGGTGGGAGCGCTGCTGCGCTCCCAGCACAGCACTCTCCGGAGTGCGCCAAGGGCTTGGCTCTTGTCATGTTAACAATGTTAAACCCTTCAATCCATGAACATGGGATGACTTTCCATTTATTTAAGCCTTCTTAATTTCTTTCAATGCTTTGTACTTTTCAGAGTATATGTTTTGTACTTCTTTTGTTAAACTTATTCCTAAGTATTGCATCCTTTTTAACGCTATTGTAAATAGAATTGCTTTCTTAATTTTATTTTTTGATTATTGGTTTCTAATGTACAAAAATGTCAGGTCCGCCACCAGCTGTCCCAAACAGCCCTTGCCTTGCTATCAGTCTCTCCATTGGTGTCCCTTCTGGTGGGTGGGCGGATTGCCCAGATTCCTCTTTCCCCAGTCCCGGTTGAGAAGAGATGGAGGAAGAGAGCCATGAAGAGAGGTGAGCACAGCCCACTCAGATGCGGCAGGGGTTCTGTCGAGCAGTTCTGTTTATTATCACACAAGCACTTGCTTTTAAAGGCAAATGAGGAAGGGAGGTTTTTACATCCTCCAATCAGCTTAAAGGTTATGAGAGCATGCATCCTGTCTCAATGCCTAGCTATAGCAATCACGCAGTGTTCACGAGCGCAGAAGCGTATTTGGCCAATAAGGGCTAAGGCAAGGTTCCCGCAGACACTCCCACCCTACTTCCTCCCTGCGCCATCTTAGGCTGCCACGTTAATACGCCCTTGTGGGCCCATAATGGCGCCACTTGTAATGTCACTTAAGGTGGCGTTAATTTTTAAGGCCCGACACAAAAATACAATTAATTTTTGCATATTGATCTTATATTCTGCAAGCTTGCTGAACTTATTTCTTAGGTGGATTCTCTAAGATTTCCTATATACAAGATTATGCCATTTTAAAATATAGATAGATTTATATCTTCCTTTCCAATCTGGATATCTTTTACGTCTTTTTCTCACCTGTTTGTTTTGGACAGTACCTCTAGTACGAAGGTAAATAGAAAAGGAGGGTGTAGACATCCTTGTATTGTTCTCTATCTTAGGTGGATAGCTTTTAGCCTTTCACCATTAAGTGTGATAAGTGCTCTAGGTTTTTTGTGGATGTCCTTGATCAGGTTGAGAAACTATCCCTAGTTGGTTGACTTTTTATTGTGAAAGGATGCTGAGTTTTGTTAAGTGCTTTTTCTGTGTCCACTGAGATAACTATGTGGTTTTGTCCCTTATTTTATTGATATGATGTATTACAGTAATTGATTTTTGGATGTAAGCCAACCTTACATTTCTGGGCCAAATCCCACTTGGTTATGCTATATAATCCTTTTTTTTTTTTTTTTTTATGTTGCTAGATTCAGTCTCCTAGTATTTTGTTGAGAAATTTTGCATCTGTAATCATAAGAGATATTAGTTACTAGTCTTCTCTTGTGATGTCTTTGGTTTTGGTTATCAGGGCAATAGTGTCCTTATAGAATTAGTTGGAAAGTGTTTTCTTTTCTTACACTATTTAGAACAGTTTGTGAAGAATTAGTATTAATTCTTCTTAAATATTTAAAAGGCCTCACATTTCTTTGTAAGGAAGATTTAAGTTACTGATTTAAGTTACCTATAGCTTTACTTGTTATAGGTTTATCCTTATTTTGTAATTTTCTTGAATCAGTTTTGGTAGGTTATGTCTTTCTAGGAGTTTGTGCATTTCATCTAAGTTATCTAATTTCTTCTCAGACAGTTGTTGATAGTATTCCCTTAATAATTCTTTTTATTTCTGTAAGATTGGTAGATATGTCCCCTCTTTAATTCCTGATTTTAGTAATTTGAGTGTTCTCTCTCTTTTTTTCTTGGTCAGTTGAGTTAAAATTTGTCAATTTTGTTCATCTTTTCAAAGAACAAACTTTTGGTTTTGTCAGGTTTTTTCTGTTGTTTTTTGTTCTCCATTTTATTAATTTTTGCTCTAATTTTTATTATTTCCTTCCTTCATATTGCGTTAAATTTTGTTTGCCCTTCTTTATCTAGGTTATGAAGGTAGAATTTTGCCCTGGATTGAGTGTCTCCCCAAAACTTAACCTCCACTGAGACAGTGTTAAGAGGATGAGAAATCCTATTATGGTAATTCAAAGGTGGGCTCTTGAAGAGGTGATTAGACTGTAGGACCATACCATAGTGAACTGATTAACAATGGTGGTCAGGGGCATGGTTCTGCGGGCTTTAAGAGGAAAGCACACAAAGACTTTCTCTCCCTCTGCCCTGCCATTTTCTACCATGTGAGACCCCTGCATTACTGTAAAGCCACCTCCAAAGAAGGCCTTTACTGTTTGTGTTCCTTGGACTTTGAACTTCCTAGCCTCTGAAACTGTAGCAATAAATTTCATTTCCTTACAAATTACCCAGTACCATGTATTTTGTTATATGAAACAGAAATAGAGTAATGCAAAGTTTAAGTTACTGATTTGAGATCTTTCTTCCTTTTTAATGTAGGTGTTTATAGCTATCAAGGGAAATACTCCAAACAATTCTTTAATTGCCTCCCATAAATTTTGTCATGTTGTGTTTTTATTTTCATCTATGTCACAGTATTTCTGTTTCCTTTGTGATTTCTTTTTTTTTTTTTCTTTTTTTTTTTTTTCCTTTTTGTCTTTTTCCGTGACCGGCAACGGATCGCAACCCTCAGTGTCACGCCCGTACCGGACCGGGACCGGCAACGGGATCGCAACCCTCGGTGTTGCGCCCACACCTCGCTCAGCCAGTGAGTGGCCGGTCTGTATGTGGGATCCGAACCCTCAGCGGGAGCGCCGCTGCACTCCCAAG